AGTACAAAGGAAAGGCTGGCGGCACTTTTCATTCTTCTGGTTCATCTTGTTTCCAGCGGTTCTGGGTCTTCTACAGCTACGTTTCGTTGAGTTCGGCAGTAATAGTATTTCCATTCTTCCTGTTATTGTCCGCAAAGGGGGTTGGAGTGGTGAGGAAGACGAAGACGACGAATGCGAGCCCGAAGCTTTGCCGAGTTTTGCCGAAGCACACGCTGCATTGGCGAAAGTGAAGTCGTTCTTTTATGCGCATAGTATTAGTGAACGTGACGAGGAAAACCTTTTGAACGTGGAAAGTGCTCTGTTTGGTCTAAAACGTAAAGTTTCGACAAACCAGTTGTCCATTAAAGACTTTTTTGGTAAAAAGAAGTAACTTTGAAAGAGAAACATTGTTTTTTTTAAAATTTTTAATGCTTTCCCGCATCTATCGTTTTCCCGCATTCATCGTTTTTATTTCCCACCCCCGCTGAAAACGATGCATCGAGGTTTCACTGTATTACAAACTGGTGGACATGATCATGTTCTACTGGGTTTTCATAGAATATGCCGTACTAACATGAAATTGCTTGTTATATTTTTATGATAATTATGTAGGATAAAATTATTAACTAATTTTATGGTACAGTGATAGTTATTGAGTTGGTGAAGAAATTTCTGACTTTTATAGCATCCAAAATTAATCAGCCTATTGACAAAGAGCCAGCTCAGTATATTTCACATTAACACAACCTAATTTAATGAAATATAATATAATTTTATCTTGCAAATTAAATTGGTCTTTTTCTCTTGAAGTTTTTAACCATTGTTTTGTATCAAGCAGGTTGTTGTGGCTATAATGTAAAATTTTGTGGTTATGTATTGTAGGCTTAAACAGGTTGCCTATGATTGGGTTGGGCTTGTAGCTAGGATGGGATTAAGAATACATACAAATTTTAGTGAGGAAATTTGTTGGAAAATGGCCAGTTGGAAGATCAGAAATGGGAGGGTATCATTAAGATAGATCATAAGGAAAAGGGTTATGAGGACAGGAGATAGATGCGACTGTGTCAGGTTCATATTCAGAGCAGGTGTTGGTATTAGCAGTGTTCAGCCTTCGTGTTCTTTTACCAGAGAAGGGACACAGGTTTTGAGGATGGAAGGTGAATAGAATGGCTCAGGATAGTGATCTGTGTTGGGCTTTGGTATTGGTAACATATTTTTGGCTCATCAGATTTTCTCTTTGTAATTTATATGCATTTGTTTTTTGTGTAGTGAGGTGCGACAGTACCCAGTTGCTGCTGACTCAACACTACCTACAAGGAAGAGGAAATTTGATGAAATGAAAGAATCTCCACGAAAGGCACTCATTGAGGAAATTACTGATGAAAGTAAGTAATTACAGTGACCCCTGTTATAGTCTTGAAAAATGGGGTAGAAAGGGTATTAAAGAGAAATTTAATAGTATCCATGACATGTAATAAAATTCTAATGTTGAAAATGGAGCATTGCACTTCTGTGTAAAAAGTGAATATGTGATGGATATGTTTTACTGCCTAGAAAGAAAATAAAAAATAAAAGATAGATAAAATCAGTTTCAAGTAATACATAGTATGAGAATATGGAAAATTGTGAAGCGCTTGTGTTTATGTTGATTGACTCTTGTTGAGTGTTAATCCAGATTGTTGCAGAAGTAGCCATCTCTGACTAGTCTTGTTCAGAAGCAAGGTTATGTGAACCATCGGGTTCTATAAAAGGCTGAGAGTTTCTAGACCACCTGGGTGACTCTCAGTTTCTCAGGAAGGACTCCATTCCATGGAGTTAGTTAATATATAGTTAGTATAGTTTACTTTTCAAAGCCATTGGTAAATAATCTGTACTTACTACCATAATCTTGGATTTCAATTTATCAGCATTTGAAAATTGAAAAAGCCAATAGTTTAAATTGGTACATAAGTTACTATGTTATTAGACTCCAGGCTTTGAAGTAGTTTTCTGTTTTATTTTGGATCTCTTACTGAGAGAAATATGGAAGAACGTGAATTAATTGTGTCTGAAAACAAAATGGACAATTTAAATTCACAATAAATGTTAGATTTGTTCAGTCAACCTAGTGTTATAATAATGATATTTAGGTTACATCAGGCTGGACATGTAGCTTTGGTAGGGGAGTAAATTAGTCCACACACGAGTATTCATAGTGAAGCCTCCTAGAAAGAGGACCAAGGTACAGCTTGGAAGAGAACACTATATGGGTCTTTGGGAAACAGAATCTGAAGACGAGATGAATGTAAGTGGTTCAGAATCACAGCTTTGGTGTTAGTGGTGATGAAGCTCCAGGACATAGAAGATGAGAAAATATTTGTAATTACATTGTCCACTGTGAAACTTACATATTTTTCTGGTCTTTGTTATGTCATATACTCAGTATCATTCAGCTGTCAGCTGTGTATACACGTTTGTACTCTGTGATGGTCATACACAATTTCTAAAATGAGCCAATTTTGTTACAGCAAAGAGTAGATTGTTTCAGTTGATTTTATATTTGAAAATTGAGTGAATTGTATGTTATTGTATTTTTTTTATGTATGTTCATATAATAAATATTTTTATAGATGATGTACAACCAAAAAAGAAGAAAAAGATTAAACATGAACCAGTAGGTGATATAGAAACTACAGGACATGGGGAAGAACGCATCAAAAAGAAAAAGAAGATCAAAAGTGAACCTGCAGTCTCTGAAGGCATAACTTATGGTAAGAAATTCACAGCTTCTTGTTTCACCTTCATCAGTAAAATTGTCTCAGTGCATAAGCTGTGTAATTTGGTTAAATACCATTGAAGTTTAAGGGATCATGTCTTCCTTTATACTTATTAAAAATTTCAGTGTATATATTCAACTGACAAAGAAAATAGCAGTTAAGTGACTGAATTTGTTCAGTTATCACACATGGTGTGTTGGTAGCTGCCCCATATCATCATTGTAAATGACATAATTAAAATGTAGTCAGAAGGTCAATAGGTGTGGAATACAGATTTTATTCACATTGTGATCTTTCTGAATTAGTGATTGTTGTGCATGTGGTGTGTCATCATCATCAGTCCAGCTTTCAGTGTTGAAAGTCGGTGACCCAATGGGTTTTCTTGGGAAAGAAAATCTTGAGGTAGTTTTCCATTGCTTTCCTCAAGGTTTGTTTTAGGCTGCCCCTAACACGGGGAACAGACGCCTTTTGCAGCCACCCCTAACCTGGAGAACAGATGCTTCATGATGGATTTCAGTTGCATTTCCTTCACTGAGGGGACCATCACCCCACCTAAAGGGGCTCCTCCGCCGTTGGCCCCCTTAGGAGTCTGGCATCTCGGCGTCGAGTTGCTGGCTGTACGGTCTATTCGATTACCGTAGTGGGGTGACCCGGCCAGACAACTGCATGTGGTGTATACTGACAGTAAATTGGCTCTTAGTATGCAGAATTTTTTATATTGCAACCATCTGTGAACACTTGTCTACATCTAAGCGTTGTTTTGTGTGTTTGTTCAGGTGATGGTGTAGAGGCACAGGAAGAAGAGGAACAGACATGGGTGACAGGTGAGTTTAAATGTGCAACCTCTATAGTAACAATGCATTACTGTTAATTAAAGAATCATTGGAAGCAATAAGAAGTCCCAGGTATGTGTTGGCAGTTCCAGTGGCAGGGTTCCTAGCTTTTTGTGTTCTAGCATTTTTGCCAACACATTCTGTTTCTCATTATGACAGGGAAACATGTAACATGAGGGGACTGACAACAAAATGATATCAGCTGAAATGTTTTTCATAATATAGATAATGTTTATAGGTGTTCTTTACACTTTAGCATAAGTGAATAATGTCTTATGGACATATTCTGTCTGTCTGCCCATGCATCACATCTTTCAGTCAAAAAATCATGCTTTACTCATATGAACAACATGAACTACATCAATGAGTGATCTAAAAAGGTGCAAGTCCTGGTGGTAGTAACGAATTGATCTTTGTAATGGTGGTGTATTGTGTTTTCTTTGTGGCAGGAACTGGTTACAGTGATATCATACCAATGTTTGTTTTGACGAAGGTCTTTGTAACAATTATGTGTTGTCTTAAAACCTTGCATACCGTGTAGTGTATTGGAATATAAAATGTGTGTTCTGGTTAGGGAGTGAATTTCTGGTTGCTGTGATGTCATACCAACATCTGTGATGATGCATTGTGTTCTTATCACACTCATTGGGTATGACATAAAGAACTCTTATGGAACTTCTGTGCACTTCAACCTTATTAATTATAATGAAATTGAGAAATAAGTTTGTAAAGTTGCAGTCCATACTGGAGTATACAGCATATCCACTTATGTTCTTTTCAGTTTAGCATTCTATCTTCATCGTGATCGTTGTTGTTGTAATTATTATTAAGATATCTTTTTAAAAACTTCTTGTATGCACACGAGATTTCAGGTTGTCATGATGGCTGTTTCATGGGTTATTACACATAGCGTGGTAGAACTTTACCATTGTTGCAGAGTTGCTTGCTGCCTTCATCATCAGGGTGATGAAGTCACACTGATGATGGAGGCAGCAGACCACTCTGAAAGGTCAGTAAACTTCTACCAGACTACACAGTGCTACAACCCAAAAGGCAGCCATATTTGTCTTGTATGCAGATTCTATGCAAAATTTATTAAATGTAATCTCGAAAGTTTCGCATCATTGCCATGTTTGCAGTTGTTAACTTATAAACATTTCAATCTGTATAGTATACAGTATTCATGATCTATCTCCAAACCAAATTTCACAAGCCCATCTCCTAAGATTTGTTAATTAACACAGTGAAACTGAAAGCTGAAGATAGTTTTTGTTGTTTTATGGTCTACAAAAAAACTACCTTAACAAAAACTGCTTATTTTTTCAGTTATCTAATACCATAAACTATTTCAAGACCCTAGATTAAGTGGCACCAATGTTCTCCATCTGACAGATTTGTTCTTCTGCCTTTACCTATACTTTTCCTCTTTTTTATTACTATGTGTATCATTCAATTTGGATGCTGTCTGCGTGTGGCATGCTCCTTTGATCTTTATCTTCCACTTGTAATGCCATATCTATTATTATGCATTCTGCTGATATCATTCACATGCAATACCTTTTAATGTTAAAGTATGTCTATAAAGATAATGGGTGTTCTGCAGCATGTACAGTATTATATCTATTGTATTGCAGAGTTCCCAGTTTGTTTTTTGTCTTTCCCAAGGGCTTCAGACATGTTCATGTGTGGTGACACTTATTAGCAACTGGTTGTAAATACCAGCTATTCAGATCAGTGCCTACCAGTCATTCATGACATTACAATGGCTGCATTGTTACCAGTGACATAAACAGTTTGTATGTCTCTTTATATACAGGTTGTGTAAAAGTGTTGCTGCTTGCATGACATTGCGTAAACAAAGTGTAGATCAGTTCGGTGTGGTGCTAATACTCAAGACTTATATTGGAAAGTACCTTGTTTGAATCTTGGTCAGGTTACTGGCTGTTGTGACTGGTTTTTTCATCCAGGCAAATTCCAGGATTATCCTACCCCTTAATCCTTAGATAATCAAGATAATTATCCCATCTTATTTGGCATGATAGTGGAAATGGCATATTGAAATAATTAAATAGCACTGAATTGTGACTGACTGTGGCCTGGGTGACTGGGGTTTGATTCCCACCGGGAGCAGGAATTGTTCTGATTACCACCACTTTCAGACAGGATGTGGGGTCTGACCTCTGCAGTGTTTACAGGGAGGTCTTTGGTTCAGAGGGTGGTATAATGGAGAGTGTGTTGCACTATCATATTACTGCAGTATTTACTGGCATCACTTCAGAACAATGTTTTATCTGTCACACAGCCATCATCAGGTTCATTTCAACACTACCTTTCTTATGCGATTTGGTGTACTTTCACGGTTGCAGGTATGTTCTTTAAGACTTGTTTCTTGCAGAGTCTGGAAAAAAGAAGAAGAGGAAGAAAAAGTTTAAGGAGGCCACTGAATCTGGAGTTGGACCTGATGATTCTTTCGGTGGTTCTTTTGTAGAGGCAGAAACAAACAGTGAAAAAAAGAAAAAGAAGAAGAAAAAGAAGTCATTGGATAACCAAGAAGAGGATTAGCTTGTGTTGTAAAGGTCTTTAAATAAAAACTGGTACAAATGTAATATACAACACATTATTATCATCCTTTAATTTCCTCAACTAGAACTACATTTTTGAAGTAATGTATTTGTTGTTGATCTGCTTATAAATTTTATTATGAAGTACTATATACATTGAACAGTTTATATACAAAACCCATATCAAGACCCATCAATTTCCCTGTTGATGGAGGCAGCAACAACCTCTGAAGTGTTGGTAAACTTCTGCCAGACTATATGGTGCTATGACCCAGAAGATACCCATCTTCGTACTCACCACTGTGAGAACCTCAAATTCTACTAAAACCCTTGTATTCAAAACAAACACACACCCCCCCCCCCCCAAGAGTGTTGTCAATGAACTAGTTAGAACCATCTTGAAAGTAATGTTTGCAGTATTTTCCACATGTTTATCTTAAGTACCATTTAATTTGTGTTTTCATGTCTACAGTCATTTGTGTAACTACTTACTTTCATTTACATACTTTCAGTTTCAAGTAGCTGAAATGTATGTAACATTTTGTAATTTACATCTTTTATGTTACTATGCTAATGTACATGGTCAGTTACAGACAATGTGGTGGGTGATGGCATGATACTGATGAAGACAGTGTCTCTTGAAATGTTAAATACTACTATATAAACATTTTGCATGAATAAATTCTTATGATTTTTTTTCCATATGTGTGTTCAATGTTTTTTGGAAAATTGGTATTTCATGTATGCATTTTTCAGGAATGCATCTGTCACATAAATGGAAAAGTGACTATACAGTAGTTCATTCAGTTGTCAGTTTGCCGTTGTGTAGCTGTAGAACATTGTGAAATTCTGAGGGTATAAAAAAGAAGTCAGTGCTTGGTCTGAATCTGAAAGCAACTGCAACCTGTAACCTGTCTGATATTTGAATCATCTACCTCCTGTATGCAAATCTATGGCTTTACCGCTACAACAGCCTGCATGGTGTCAAGATACGAATTAATGAATCAGAGAGGTGGTGGCAGGTGAGGAAGTGACTTTAGCAGTTGACAAGGGAGGAAATGATATTTTTAAATGCTTCGTACTGAGTGTTGATGTCGTATTTATGTGAATACTGAACTGTGGTCATGTATGACATAATACTTAGATCAAGGAACACTGATGTGGTGCAAACAATGTATTTAGTTATGTGTACCTATGCCTGGGATCACAAAAATGAATGCAAAATGTGGGAAAACCTTAGATCAGTATAGTGTTATGAAATGAACCTTACCATTGTATTCCTAACACCTTGCAGAATTTCAGTTGTAGGACCTTTCAGAACCTGGGGGTTCAGGGGTATGCTCATTGACTTATGTGCAGAAGATGATTGTCCAGATCTGGTATGGATTTTTCTGCATGGTTTGCGATTTTTCTCTTCTCTATCAAAGTGATTTGTATCCAAACAAGCTGTAGGCCCTCTTTGCCTGCCATTGTCATGCATCATGCACTTCTTTGGGGTAGAGGGGTTAAATTTCCCCCACCTAAGAAATGGACTTCATGATTGAATAGATTAGGAAGGTAAGCTGTAAGAAGTGGAAGAAAGAAAATCTAGGTTAACTGATGTCTGGCAGGCCACCATGGTGGTCTGCTGTTTGACTTTGACAGACAACCAGGTTCAATTCTGACCACTGCCAGTAAGAAAAATATAAAAGAAAGTTTGTGAGTCTGGCATCCAATAACCTGAGGATGAGAATAATGCATTTTTGAAATGCATATGTTAAATATAGGTCAAGCTAATTGGCAGCATCCAATGAAATGGCATCATTATTTTACAAACCTTTAGAAAATAAGGAATGGAATTGTGCATTTGAATGATTTTAAAAAGGTGACTTGTTGGATAGAAACAGATGTTTAAAGTGCAGAATTATTAGAATTAACCAAGCATTCACTTCTTAGTCTCATTGTTGAGGCAAGCCTAATTGTTGATTCATGGAACATGATAAGCTGATAGTTACTATGTTCAGAAGAGCCAATATTTGGACATTTAATAATAAGAAGTGACTCAAAGAATCTACCAATTTTAAGATGTACTGAGAAATTGAGCTGATATATATCAGACTAAGTAACTTTGTGCTAGGTAATAAATTTAACTCTATATGCAGCAGTTTTTTGGGGGGGTCCTATGTACAGTCAAATGTCTTACCAGCCCTGTTTTAATAAAATTGTTATAAGGAAATTGAAAATCTTGTATGTAAATTGGCCATAGGTATTTTTTATGTTGATTCTTCTTTATTCTTCCAAACAGTTTTATTTTTGGCATGCATTTTTATAAACTTCTCCACTTATCACATCTAAGTACCAGGACCTTTATTTGTAGAAGCAAACTTTTGTAATGGAGCATTTGTATATGCATGGAAGCTGGTCACACCCTAAGATGGGGACATATATTGAGTGTGTTTGAGGAGAATGTTTGGCCCTAAGAGAGAGGAAATAACAGGATTTAGAAAATTACATAATGAGCATTATAATGTGTACTTGTCACCAAATATTATTAAGATGATCAAGTCAGAAAGCTTGAGACAGGTGAGGAATGCATTCAAAAATTTGACAAAACCTGAAGAGAAGAGAGTACTTGGGAGGCTGGGCATAGATTGGAAGACAATATTAAAATGGATTTTAAAGAAATTGGGTATTAGGATGCAGAATGGTGCGACTGTCATAGAAAACAGTAACGAACCTTTATGTTAAATGTGGAGTTTTTGAGCAGGTAAGAGACTATAAGCTTCTCAAAAAGGACTCTATTTCACGGGATTAAATCAGGCAGTAAGGAGCTCTACCAGTCTACACGGCACCACAGCCCAGAAGACAGCCATCTTTGGACTCACTACTTTGAAAACCTCAAATCCTACCATTTACTAAGACTTTTGTATGTTTTTAGTATTTGAAGAAATTTTCATTGTTATGCTGACTTCTTTGTGTAATCTACTTTCTGTTGACATTGCTTATCTTTTAGCATGTAAGATAAATTCGATGATAAGGTTTAATAATTGCCACCAGTTTTAATTTTTGTTACAGTTGATTGATTAGATTATGAGGTGCAGGGCACTTCTCATTTAAAGCACATGTATGAATCATGCACAGAAGTGAATAACATTAAGTTCAAGATGACTATGATAAACTGAAAGGCTGATGTGACTTGTTCAGTTTTGCTTTTACAGGTTTCTTGTACTAAGAGTTTCTACCTGTGAGTGATGACAATTTGTGGTGTGTTTTGTTAATATTTGCCTGTACATTTGTACTGGTAAGTTTTTACTCAACTTATAAACCTGTTAAACTGATTATTTGTGTTAAACATCTGAGAAAAGGCAAGAAAATGTATGAAAGACATGTGGAATGGTATATTTTGTTTTTTTATATAATTTTGCTTTAATGAAAGTTTTAAGGACACACTTCAGCATTATCTAAAATGTGTTTCCAAAACAATATATTTTTAGTGTAACAGATAACTCCCCTACATTGTGACCAGCATCTGATTCACATCAAGTCTCCCATTTCTTACCTTACACACTACAGAATACCACGGTCCACATCCCACCCTTTCATATACTCTACAGGTCATCACAGATTATTTTACAAATGCATGCAGCATTTTAGCCCGCACTTTTTATTTTTATAATAATTCAGTATGCATCACATATCTGAAGTATCCTACACTAATAAAGTAATAATAGATTTTTTCACATATGTTAATAATTTTATTTTTATTGTAACGGTGTCTGACGTGTAAAAATGGATCAATTTTTCAACTCCAGCTGTTACCAACACCTGTAACATTGCATAAAAATAATTCTTTGCATGTAGGTCTGTGGATGGAAATCTGAATTTGCCAAAACATGTAGCCTCAAGGTTATGTAAGTTTTGGAATAATAAAATAATTGGTTTATTTCAGTACACATTGGAATACTTCAGTATGAAATCCATGAAAAACATTTTGTGTAAGTGCTGCTAAAATGTCATTAGCATCTCTTGGATTCCTAATTACTGTCAGCTCTGCATTAACATATTACTCATCCTGAAGTTGTTTTCAGCTCATAAGTCATGCAGTTTGTGACCAATAAACATTTTTGAAGTATTCATCTTTCCCTTGCCAATCAGAGGAGTCATTGTTGCAGGTTCTTTTATACCTATTACGATCAGTTTTGCCTTATGCTTAAAAATTGGTTTTCATTACATATACAGGTAGCCCTCGATTTGCGCCGATTCAGAATAACGCCGATTTTGAAACCAGCAAGTCAAAAATAAAAAAAAATAAAATTTTACTATTATTTATAACGTGTTACAATCTCGTACTGATTCTTATACTAAATCGTAATTCTCACATCGCTAATTTTAAATAAAAATTATAAATACAGTCATCTCTGCAATTACGTATGTTTCGTTAACGCGAATTTGCTCCAATGAGATCGATGAATCGGTAAAAGCTGTTTGTGAAATGCAAACTTTTGCATATGCGCGTTTGCTCATACGCAATTTCATTCCCGGCGCTTTAAACTTTCAAAGGACTAATTTGATCTCTGCAGAGGTACCGGGTTTACTTTTACTACGCGATTTTCTATAGGCTGGCGTCTTATATGAATGCAACTATCTCATAACAGCAGAGATGACTGTAAACATCGATCACATGAAAGAATCGCAATCAATCGCGGGGACCAACGAATTGCCGATTGTAAGTGTATAAAATATATTTTTTTAAATTCCCTTTATTTTATTTACGTTATTTCAGAGCTTTAAATGTAATGCCATTATATTACTCGTCAATGTTTGGGTGCCAGGAACGCATGTTATTGACTTCCCATTGATTTACATTATAAAAGAGTTTCAATTTACGTTGGTTCGTCCAGGAACGCATCCCCGGCGTAAATCGAGGGCTACCTGGCAATTCAGTATATCACATTTCAATATAGTTTATATTGGGGAGACTGTAAATGCATACAGAATTTTGGTGGGCAAACTTCTTGGGATACTGAGAAGGTGATAGGATGATGATAACAAGATCAATGTTATGGAAATTGGATATGACAATGAAAGGTGCATATTACTAGTTTAGATTTTAATTACATGCCACATTTGGAGTCTGTTTTTAAAGTTGTTGAGAGAATTTAAGTTTGGCCAGTATCTG